GATTGACAAGGGAGGAAGTCAGAAACTAAGAATCCAGAAGCGTGGAGGGTGCTCGGGTGGAAGCCAGTGAATGGATGTGTAGTGACAGCTGTATTGCTGCATGGCCTTGTCATCTTTCCTAGACTTTCTATCCTCTCCTCCGTTATTAACCGGAGACCTACCTAGTCATCACACCGTCCTCCCAGCTCCTGTGTCATTTGGGACAGTCTGCAGCATTGCTGGCACAACCCCCAGCACTCTGGATGTTTCTTTCACAGCAACTATGCAAAATAGGCCACACTGCCCCCATCATAGATGGGAAAAGAAGAGCTCAGGGTGCTAAGTACTGTGCTCCAAGGAAGCCCCTAAGTGCCAGGCTGGGGGTTGGCTGTCCAGCACAGGCTCCCTGTGTGCCTTCATGCCATGCATGCATCTATCTATCTGTCTGTCTGTCTGTCTTTCTGTTTCTCCTTTCACCTCACAGTCCTCTCTCCCCTGAGAGCCTCTCTCCCACCCAGAGTATAGCACAGAGACAATGTTCTGGCACCCATGTATCTGCCTCCTGATCCCAGTCTCCACCTACCCTGGTTCTTAGCAGGGGTTGGTCTTTCAGTAGGGGTTGACTTCGGTGGGGTGACTGCTCCCCAACATGGCATGGCTGTGCCTTTTGCTTAGTGCATGGCTTATTCACCTGGGTTCACTGCAGGTGAGTGTTGTATTTGAGTTTCAGTGATACAAGGATCAGAGGGGAAGGATTAGTGTCCCTTATTCATAAAGGAGAGATAGAAGCAAGCACATAACCACACAGGAGATACAGATGCACCAGTGTGGCTCTCATTTGGAGAGAAAGGCCGACCGCAGGGAAAATCTGCCCAATTCAGGAGGCTGGGGAGGCTTCCTGCAAGTGACCACTTAGCTAAGGGAAGAGCTAGCAGGCAGAGGAACTTGTACATACAAAGGCTCTGTGCCACACAGAATGCAGCCCCCCTCCTTCCAGGGCCATTAGGTAGGTCTTTTCTCAGTAGTAATGGGCATTTGTCATAATTGCAGTGAGGAGCTTTGGAAAGTTTGGGGAGAGGACAAAGACATGATCTGATTTGCAAGTTGGAAAGCTTTCCAAAGTAAGGAATGTAGATTGGACAGCAGTTAGCTAAGGGGTCCTGAAATAATCTGAGCAAGCAGTAGGCTGGGCCAGGTAGTGGATTTGAGTGAAGGGAGATTTGGGGAGGGCCTGAGCAACTCCCCTTAGCAGGGTCAGCTGTAGTGAGGGAAGAGAAAAGGTCTCCAGCTGACACCCAGGGCTCCTGCTCTGCTGCTCTGTGGGTGCTGGCCGGGCCCAGAGCAGGAGTGGAGAGTGGAGGCAGCAGCAGACATGCTGATTTGGAGCCACAGTTCCAAGACAGAGCTAGGCCAGCCATGCTGCTGGTTCTTCAGCAATTCAAAACAGATGTCAAAAGCTGTTTCGGAGGGAGGGAGGGTACTTCTGGATCTGGGCCCCTCTCACCCATCTGAAGAAAGAGTGGACACTGAGTTCTCAGAAGATCCATGCAGCAGGGTTCCTTTGGACCTGGGTTCAGAACAATCCCTTTCCTTCTCATGCCTAGTTCTTTATCTATAAAGCTGATAGCTCAAAATGAGACCACAAGCCTGCATGTCACTAAAGAGTGGCTGTCACTGTGTTATTAATTGTTCAAGAATTCACAATCAGGACTTAACTGAATACCACGTGCAAGGGACATATGTTGGCTTGGGTTCTGCCTGGCCAGGAGTCTGCTTGCTGCCTGGCACCCTTGTTCAGAGCACATGCTCAGGAGAGTGGGGCTTCCCAGACAGCCACCTGTGCATCCCCGTATCCTCAGGCATGTACATTGGTGTCCTTTCCATGGTTGCAGTTGGAGTCAACTAATAAGTCATCTACCATGCACCTGGGCCCTCTTGTGGGGGCAAAACAACCCAGAGTCCCCAGAAGCACCTGTGGAGCACCTTCTGTGTACCCACATGTTTTAGGCCATTATGTGTTGTTATAACAAAATTCATAAAGAATAAAGCTTTATTTAGCTCACAGTTTGGGCAACTGGGAAGTCCAAGAACTGGTGGTACTTGGTAGGCACTTTCTTGCTCATCATAAATATGGCAGGGGCATCAATGACAAGACAGAACATGTGTGCCAGATGGGGTATCCTTATAAAGCCATTAATCCTAACTTCATGGCCTTTCCTTGCCCTAATTACCTCTCTAAGGTCCCACCTCTAAATGCAATCAACTTATGAATTGGGGGATGAAGTTTCTAATATGTAAATGTCTGAAAGACAGCCAAACCGTAGCACCTCCAGCGCCCAGCCTGCTAGAGATCTGCAAGCCATAGCCCTCAGAGCCCAACAGAATACATATCCAGCCACAAAGACCTTAGCTGACAAGGAGGAGTAGAGAAAAGTGTATTCTGATTCTCAACTTTTTCTTCCGATGAGAGCTTTCCTCAAATCATTAATGCCTCTGGTTGAAAAGGACGTGTACAAGGTAGACGGTGTGGCCCTGACAGTTACAACTGTGCCTTTCTGGAATGCACAAGCCACTCTCACATCTGTCACTCCATTGGGTTATAACCTCAGAGCTGGCAGGTGACCCATTTTTATGCCTAGGTCATTAATAAAGTCTCTATGTCTTCGATAGCTGATTTGTGGATCCAGGTGAAGTGCCCTGGCTATACCCTATCCCCACTTCAGCCCCCACTGGCCTCTCATCCAACCCAGGTCTTCATCCCTGTACCCTAATTCCCTTCATCCCTTACTGCTGTCTGCTCCCCTCTGTGGCCTCAGACTCCCCATGCCCATGAAGGAGGAAGTTAGGGGAGAAAACCCCAGAAGCCCTTTCCAGCCCATAGATTCCAGACACTTCTCTGTTTCTGTGGCCCAGCAGTAAGGGACTTCCTTGGGAGTCCCAGGACCCTGCTCTACCTCCAGGGTGGCCAGCCTGAGCCCAGCATGGGGTGGGTGCTGGATGCTCCCAGGGCCCAGCAGGGGTCCAGAGGCATCAACTCCCCAAGGTTCCACAGCCTTCTGGAGGCCATTGGCGTGAATTGGGGCCTAAGGTTCACAACCATCCACCCTGCACTTGGTGCTCTGCAGCAATGGGGACAGGACACCAACACATGCATGATAAGCATAACCCCAAGACCAGCAGATTGGAATGGTTCAGAAGCATCCCAGGAACAAACGGTCACAAGAACCATGAGTAGGAAGCCAAGGGAGGCAGGCCCTGTGGCCAGAGCAGCCAGTCCTGTCCTGCAGGTCTGGTCAGGCAGGCAGGAGGAAGGCAGGATGAGCAGCACAGATACTGTTCGAGCAGTATCAGAGTTGTTTTCAGGCAGTGCCCCCATCCTGCAGGAACCTAGAGGCCACTGAAGGGAGTCTGGGGGACAGGGCCCAGTGGGGCACAGGAGTCATTTTTCCACACAGGTTTTTATAAAGGCAGGTGTGTTCCCAGCCACACTGTGCCTGGCTATGGGCCAGGTCCGTGCCTCCTAATTCACATCAGCCCTGGAGGTCTGCACAGGGATTAGACCCCTTTAGAAAGAGAAACAGGGTCAAAACTTTGATGGGTAGACTTATCCAGTGATGTTAGCAGACAATTTCTAAGCCAGTGTCCAGAGAGAGATCCAGAATCCTGAGGAAGGGAGTGGGGCTATAAAAAAGTGGAAGTAGACTGGAGCCATCGCGGTTGGGCCTGGGCCCTTGGGTGCTGGGAGCCCTGGTCTGGGCCAGGCTCTTTTCCCTTTCTGAGACTGTGTGGGGGACCACAGCCATGAGGGTAAGACTGTGTGCAAAGGACAGCCAACAAGGGCAGGAATGTGTATATACAACGTGTGTCTGTGTGGGGGTCTGTGTGCATGGGTGCTTTGTGTACCTACACACATGTGCATATCTGTGCATAGGAATGTGGTGTGCACACTCAAAGTGCAGGGTCCCCAAACCCCAGGCCACCTCAGAACCATGGGGTTCAATGTATGAGCACAGCTGCATGTTGTCAGCAACCCCTTCTGCTGCCCCTCCTCCTGTCCTCCCTACCTCATCAGAGCAGCTTTCCCAGCCCTCCAGGCATTGTGCTAAGAGTATAAGTGAAGCCATCTAGGTTTCTGCCTGGCAAATGCCCAGTCAAGGTGTCAGGGAGACTTTGGTGTGACCCTAGTTGCAACACGATCCATGACTTTGGAATGCTTAACACTTAACACTTGCTTCTCCCTGTGGAATTCTCTGCAGCAGGAAGAATGAGCAAGTTACTGCCACACACAGTGGGAAGGAATTCAGGCATAAGAGAAGAATGATATCTCATTTGCATAAACTCAAAAATAGACAACATTAAGATGGGCCCAAAAAGCCTGGATAATGGCCGTGTTACTTTTCTATCATCATAACAAATACTGAGAAAATCAGCTTCTAAGGGGAAAGGTTTATTTTGGCTCCATTTTGGAGGTTCCAATCCATGACCTACTGGCCTGTTGCTTTTGGGCCTGTAATGAGGCAGCCCATCATGGTAGGAGCATGTAGTGGAGCAGAACTATTTACCTCATGTCTCCAATGACCTATCTTCCTCCCATGAAGCACCACCTCTTAAAGACTCCACCACCTCTCAAGAGTGCTCAGCTCAGGCCTACCTGTAACACAGAGGTATTTGGATGACCATCCTACATTGAAACTATAGCAGTGGCTTCCCTTGGGGCAGGTCTGGAAGGGAGAAGGGGTTTTAAGACACTGGTCATGTCCTGTTTCTTGACCTGTGCTAGCTTCCCAGGTGGATTCACCTTGTCCTTCTCAGATCTTCACCATACCCTGTGCTAAATCAGCCCTGTTTTATAGATGAATAAACTGACTCCAGGAGAGAGTTCATCTTTTGCCCATCAACCCCATAGCTGTGATTCTTATTTGACTATCTTCCCTCTAAACTGTCCTCATAAGCTCTTCCTGTGCCCACCTACCTGTCCCTATTTCCTCTCCCAACGCCATCACCCTTTCCCCCCAACACAGGTGATGCTGATGCACCTTTTGTTGGCTGTTGTGCAGTGTCCCGATTCTCCAGCCCCCGGGTGACCCCCCGCCTGAGCCGCAAGCGGGCGCTGTCCATCTCTCCGCTCTCAGATGCCAGCCTTGACCTGCAGCGGATGATCCGGACCTCACCCAACTCGCTGGTGGCCTACATCAACAACTCACGCAGCAGCTCAGCAGCCAGTGGCTCCTATGGGCACCTATCAGCGGGTGCCCTCAGGTGAGCCTTGCCTGCCATGAGAACAGGCTCTGGAGGGCAAGTGGAATCCCAATAACAGAGCAGTGATGCAGGGGTGCATCTCAGGTGTCAGAGCAGTGGGGAGGCCAGGGCATGGGGATGTGATGGAGCCTGGCTCCTGCTGAGCCTGCAGCCTGCCAGGGGTGAAGGCTATACCCCACAGCGGGGTCTGTGGCAGTGGTGGGGAACGAATGGAATGCATGTCATCGCACCTTTCTTTTAGGACAAAAGATGTTAATGTAGAGTTGTTTTTCTAAACTAAAACCTCAGTATTCAGATTTAATTGGAGTGTTGGCACTTTGGGATAAATAAGTGGTTTTGCAATGCAGTTTGGCGCTCAGTCTCTGAAAGCTTTGCCATCCCTGCTCTAGGAGCTAGCATAGAACGTGAGGCCTGAGTGACAGGCAGTGGGAAGCCACTACTTGCTCTAAAAGAGGCAAAGCCACAGTGGTGGTGCAGTTAGCACGGCCATTGCCAAGGCGGTCTTGGTCCTCTGAGCAGGGTCCTCTCTGGCCAGGAAGCATCTGCCTACCAGGCAGGGCCCGCTCCATCTCCTTTTCTGTTGCAGCCCGGCCTTCACCTTCCCCCATCCCATCAACCCCGTTGCCTACCAGCAAATCCTGAGCCAGCAGCGGGGCCTGGGCTCGGCCTTTGGACACACGCCACCCCTGATTCAGCCCTCGCCCACCTTCCTGGCCCAGCAGCCCATGGCCCTCACCTCCATCAGCACCGCGCCCACCCAGCTCAATAGCAGTAGCAACTGTCCGAGTGATGCCAACCAGGTAGGTGGGCACAGGGCGCAGGAGCTCGGCCACTGGGAGCTCGTCCTGCCCCGATGAGGGCGTTCCTACCATCCCACGCCAGGGACTGGTAGAGAACTCTGGGCTCCAGTCTGGCCGGGGGATATCTTCTGTGTAAAGTCTACATGATAGAAAGGGCTTCAGGCTGGGACAGGGGCCCTGAGCTCACAATTCAGCCTCTTCCTGTCTAATAAACATAAAGAAGGGTGAAAAAACCTTCCAGTACATGAAATCGGACCCTATCTAGGGACTCCATGCACAGTGCAGGAAATAAATGAATGAATGAACAGCAATAATAATAGTAATATACATTTTTGTTCTAGAGCACACATTTCCTACAGGCTTTCATAGACCTTCTTATTCAGTCCTTCCCACACGCCTCTGGCCTGCTGGGCCTCCAAGCAGAGAGGTGCTTGGTGTGCACTGGATGTCACCAGTATCTGGCAATAAATGAGTCCCTGTGTTGCAGATGAGGACCTGGATTTATAGGAACAAGGTTGTATAAAGGACAGGCATAGGCTTTGGAATTAGTCAGACTGAACCTGGTTTCTAATTTGCCTCAAAGCAGAGAATGTCTTTACCTCTTTCAGGCTGAGCTAACTGACCTGCGAAGGGCAACCCTGCCACTAGGCTGGGTCCTTGTGCTTATAAACCAGCTCCTGTGTGTACACAGCGCTGCTGAACCCCAGATCCTGGGGGAGCAGTCATGATGATCATAAGGGGGAAAGCACCTACCCCAGGCCACCCCTGGGCAATTGACAAACCTGGATGTGGCCATATCCCAAGGAGGAAAACAAGACACCTGCAGAAAATCCTGCATCCTAGAGCTCCAAGTGGTTCCTAGCACCTACCCCAGTCACTGCCAGCTTTTGAGGTGTCACCTGAAACTGCAGCCCCTGGCCCTTCCCCCAAGAAACCAGGCCTTTCTTGAAAACCCTGCTACGGAGCTAGCCACCCACCCTGGAGCCTCCTAAGGACAGGAGCAAGGAGACCCAGCATTTTCCAAAGAGAGTGTCTCTTTTCCATTTCCTTCTAACCCTTGGGGAAGTGGAGGTGACAGCTGCATAGAGTGAGGTATTCACGGCGGTGATCTGGGCTCCCCTGGGGGTGCTCCTGGCTGGAAAACAGGGCTAGGGGACTGTTTCTGAGACATTACCACAGGGTTTGCCCAGACAGTCAGTGGGCTGAGGTTCTAGAGGTAGACCCCACACTGACTATGGGATGTCCCTGCCCTGCACCTATGTGACAAGCTCTCCTCTGCACCCTCCCCTAGAACAAGCAGAGCAGTGAATCAGCTGTGAGCAGCACTGTGAATCCCATCACCATTCACAAACGCAGCAAGGTCAAGACCGAGGCCGAGGGTCTACGGCCAGCCTCCCCACTGGGACTGACGCAGGTAAGCTGCTGGTTGCCCTACTATCCTTGGGCCGTGTTCAGGCCAGGCTCCCAGTTTGCTACCTCTGAGCATTTTGCCTGGTGGTGAAAATGGATGGGTGGGTGGGTGAGTGGATGTATGTATGTATGTATGTATGGATGGATGGATGGATGGATGGACGGATGGATCTGAGAGGGTGATGTGGGTTCACACATCTTATTGCTGGGTCTCCAGCACCCTGTACATACTACATGTTCATCAAACCTGTCTTGAATGAATCCACAAATGAATGAATGAATGAACTTCCACCTATCCTGCCTTGTCTTGGGCTGCAGCCAAATCTCCCTCATACCTCAGCCATGAGCAACACAGACCTCAGCAGAGTGAGCTGAGTGGCTTAGGCCCCTCAACACTGCCTTCTTTCCTAGAATTTCACCCCCCTACCACCTTCACTGTTACTGGTCGTCCTTGTACCCACCCTCATACTCAGCCTAGCTTCTGGGTCACTTTGGAGCTAGAGAAGAGGATGACTCTTGGTAGGGAGATGGAGGAACAGAGCACCCCATGGCCCCAGAGGCCTTGTGTAGGTCCCTTTGGAAACCCTGCCACTTCTAATGCTCCTAGCCAGCAGGCAGGCAGGCCCTGCTCTTAGATCAAGGGCCTGTGGGGTGAAGGGTACAGTGTGCCCCGAGTCCTTTTAGGTGAGTCTCCTGACCCTCCTCTCAGCCATCACATGGTGACCCAGTCTCATTTGCTACTACAGAGTTCCCAGCATGACCACCAAGGATGCTCAGGGTCCCTGTCCCCGCCTCCTCACATCTGCCAGACCATCCTTTATCAAGACTGTAAACCACCGGGCATGCTCTGGGCACTTAATTTTCATGAAATATTAGGTCCTGCTGTTGTCAGGCAAACAGAGGGGTTGGTGACAAATTCTTCTCCCCTTGCTGACACCAAACCCAGTCTCGGCATGATGCATGGTTGCCACGAGGCTGGCCATCATTGGGGGTTGTTGGAATTGATGAGGACAGCACATATCCGGGGAAGATAAACAAACTGCAATGGCGAGGACAGAGCAGAAGGCAGACGCTGAACACTGGGAGGCCCATACCTCACCCACCAGTGGGACCCTGTGACCGCCCTGCAGCCCAGGTGGGGCACAGAGACCTCCTTCCTGCCCAGCACAAAAAGCCTTTCATCGTGAGGAGGTGGTCCTCCTGTCATGCCACATACCGTTTCACCACCAAGTGCACGGGCTAGCTTTCATAGTGCCTTTCTGTTGAAGCTCTCACATTTGCAAGCCAGGATGATGCCCTGCTCAGCCAGGGGCTCCTGCCCCCTGCAGAGCTCCTGTCTGCCTGCACATCAATCCATCAGCTTCTGCAGCTCCTGTCTGAAGTTAGCAGAGCCTGCAGCACATGGAAATCATAAATCTACTTCCCATTTTTCTTCAAGTGCAGAGCAGGCGTTAGGAGATCCTCTCATCCCCTTGTCTCACGGTCGCACTTCAGCAGTACCACCTGATAGTTCTGCTGCTGAAGCTCCAGGAGCCAGATGTCCCCTCATGTCCCAGTCCCAGTTCAGCCTAGGCAGTGCATCACTGTACAACACATCTTCATTTTCCTTCTCAGAGAAGGCACATTAATTGAAATGCAACACCTAGAGAATGAACCAGAAGCCTCTTGAAAGAGCCCTTTGTGCCCTGGTGGAAAATCAGTCAGGGATATGAGTCTGTGGGCCCCAGTAGAGTGTCATGACGCTAGTTTCTGCCTCTCCTAGAAGAGACTCAGTGTGGCTTAGTCCCCAGACCCAAGATGTGGCAGGGAGAGGTACCCCTGCAAACCTGCACAGTACTTGTCTTCCCCAGAGGCTATTTGAAAAGACGTCATGTTTCCCTGTTGTTTTTTAAAATGGTTTGAGTTGTAGACCACATCTTTAGAGATTTGCCTCTGCCTGGCTCTGCTTTGAGCCTGCCTGGCAGACAAGAAAACTGCTGGGGAGTCCCTGAGGACTTTTGTGAGCCCCTCTTGGCCTTTTCTTTAGGGTCTATGCCTGTCCCTACCTCTGGCCTTTCCCAGGTCCTATGCTCAGAGGCTGCCCCTGGCCAGCTCCAGGTCAGCACTGGCTAGGATGGGACAGCCCTGAGATCTGGGGCTTTCCCTTCATCTCCTTGAAATGGCCATGTGGCCCTCACTGTGGTCAGGAGATTCAAGTCCAGATCTAGGCTGCCACAGATCTGCTGTCTGTTCTGGAAAGGGTGAGTCGACCTCTTCCCCAGCCTCAGTTTCCCCAGCTGTAATACAGGAAGTCAGATGCCCATGTTTGAGAACTATTGCAGGGTAACTAGTTCTAGAAGGATGTGCTAGAGCACATTCTCTCTGCAGAGCTTTGTGCAGATCTCAGCACTGTCATGCATGTGAAGCTGGCTGCTTCCTGAGGCTTCAAGGAGGTGTGGCCAGTCTGAAAGGAACCATTCAGAACATGTTTTATCTTGCCCCCTGGCAAGGAGTGGATCTTAAAAACACACATATTCCCACTGCCAGTGCCTTTAGGGCCCACCCTTTTCCCCCACAATGAAACCCAAATCAAGCCAGCAAGTTGCTGCCCTTTTTCCTCCTGTCCTCATGTGTGAGGAAACTGGGATATGACAGCTCCCTTACAAACTAGCATGAGAGTGTGAGGGTGGGTCAGCTGCCTGGCAGGAAGAGTTGTGGATGGAGGTGAGCTGAGGACAGGGGCTGGAAAGGTTGATGATTATGTGTGCACATGTGTACATGTATATTCTGCATGTGTGCCTGTGCATGCATGGGCAGCCACATGTGGGCCAGCCTAGAGTCCTGGCACAGACTGCTTGGGGCTCACAGTGACTTGTCATCAGGGGCCAGGTCTCAGACATGTTGCTTATGACTATGGTTTTCTCTCCCAGGAGCAGCTGGCTGACCTCAAGGAAGACCTGGACAGGGATGACTGTAAGCAGGAGGCCGAGGTGGTCATCTATGAGACAAACTGCCACTGGGAAGACTGCACCAAGGAGTATGACACCCAAGAGCAGCTGGTGCACGTAAGCCCCCATCCCAGATTTCTGCCTGGGGGGCAGAACCCTGGCCACACAGGGCCATGAGCCTTTTAGGCCTCTGCCAGAAAGAAGGGGCTGGAAGAGCTGCCCCCAGGAGAAGCGGGGTCCATGTCCTCTGCAAGCAGAAGGCATGATCACTTACAAGGACTGATCAAAAACCACAATGGGAATTAAAATGTTTTTTAAAAATTATCATAGTAAAAGACACATTGCGATTAATTCCCCTCGAAATACTCTGTTTCACTTTGAACAAACTTATTCCCTCGTTTTGTCCATTTTATGAAGCTGTTTTGTAAGTCCTCTTTCATTAGTGTCTTTACAAGTTATGATCAAAACTACGATGAATGCTGATGCCAAGGGCCATCCAATGGAAAGGCAGCCTCGTAAAAACATTACAGTGTGTCTTCATCCACCTTATTTGCCAGAGCTGGCACTGTGCAGTTTCTGGCTCTTCACCAAAGCCAAAATGACCATGAAAGGTAAACATCTGAATTAATTCAGGATATTGAGGCAGTCATGCAATGCAACTATAAAGACATTCAAGAAAGAGGACTTCCAGAACTGCTTCAGAAAGTATCAAGAACAATGGGAAAAGTGTGTTCAAACTGAGGTAGAATATTTTGAGGGGGATTAATGGCAATATGTCTACTGTAATAATTTCTTAATCTAGACTTTTGCTGTACTTTTCAATTATACTTTGTATGTGTTCCCTGTTTCTATGAGATTTCCAAATATATATATATATATAGTACAAGGGAAAATAAGTAAATGAGAAAATCAGGGAAAAGGGCACAATGAAGTGAAGCCAGGAGGAGAGTTAGTATTAAAGACCAGCCACTCTCAGCTACAGTGCACATGCACATCTTTCCCCTAAGCTTCTTAGCTGCCCATACATAGAGGGAAGTAAGGTTTGTTAAACCAGCTGGCCTCTATAAGACTACAAACCTCATTCTGAAACCAGTAAGGTGTTTTTCCCATGGAGGAAGGTGATAGTTCCCTTTGGAGACCATTCACATACACACACTGAATATGAGTGCAGATGGGTTTCTATATCCATATCAGGGAGGGAGCTGCTTAAAACTGCTGGGTTCTTGTGATCCAGGCCAGGAGAGGAAGCTGCAGGAGCTTGTGCCTTTCAGGAATGGCCTCTTGGTGAATGGCCTCTTCAGGAATGGCCTCAAGGTTATCCAGCCACATTCATGATGGTGGCAGGCAAAGGGACCAGGGAGTGTGTGCAGGGGGAGGAGGGGCTCGTGTGACCCACCTGGCTTCAGCCCTAGCTGCCCCACAGCTGGCTGAATGGTCCTGAGCAGGGAAAGATTAAGCACATAGCAGGTGTTTTATACTCTGTAGCACCCTCCTTCTTGCCCACCCCAGCCCTGGGTAAATCTCTTTTCTATCCAGAAAGAACTTAAATTCATTTAAGAACAAACTGCTCCCAATATACATGTACACACATTCATGCACACAGCCACACCCTCCTGCTTATACTCAGAAGCCATCCCAAAAGAGTTTATTTCTCCCAGACTCTCTGAGTGTGGCACTTAGGGCCCACCACTTCCCTCCACTTTCTCTGCTCCAGCGACTTCCTTTCCAACACTTCAGGTTTCTTTTGTGTTTAGGTTCCTCCTCTCTAAGTTCTCACCCAAAACACCAGAATTTCCCAGCAAACTCATTGCAGCTGAAGAGAACCTGTGAGCCAGGGAGCACTCTAATTCTTCCTGGCACTCCAAGATAATTTCAACCTGTACCACCTCTTTGGGATAAACGATAGAGAAGGGGCGATAGGAGCAATGGGTCTCAGGACAGATCAGATCAGAGTAAAAGGAAAGGGTAGTACTATATTTCCACCTGGGACTGGACTTAAGCAAAAGTGCAGAGGTGAGGATGTAAAATACGTGTTCTGTGCTACAGATGCTGGCTGCAGAATGCGGGGAGGGAATTCTTCAGCCAGGGCAGAGGGGTTCTAAACGAGGACGGGGACATAGGCCTCTCCCTCTGCCCAGGACTGTCCCTGTGGCTGTAGCTGTCTTTCTCCAGCTGGCCCAGAAGCAACAGGCTAGTCAGCTGGGGAGCCCGGCTCTGCCTCCCTAGCTCCCTGGAAGATGGACGATGCAGGCACACAGGAGAGCAGAAGCCCCGCTGATTATTAACAATTTGTTGCTGAGTAAACCAATAAGGGAAAATGAAAGGCATTGTCAGGGAGCATTTTTATCACTTGAAAGGCTTTAAAAATAGAGTGTGAGGCTAATCTGAGATCTGTCTGGAAGTTCAAAGCACTGTGCACGTTTGTTCACTCCAGCAGTGGCATTGGTATGTGTGACAGCGGAGCTGCTGCACAGGGCATGAGGGCTGAGTGGCTTTTGTCTTCTGGGGCCAGGTGCTACCGGTGCCTGACCTCCCGTTTCCAGGCAGCTTTGCAGTTTGCGAAGGTCCACGGCGGTATCATCTGGGAGGAGAGACTATAAGGCACAAGTGGCAGCCGCATGTGCAGTTTTACATTTCCTAGGAGTACATTTTAAAAAGTATAAAAAGAAACAGGTGAAGTTAATTTTAATACAGGTTGGCTATACATTATCTAAAATCTTGGGACCACAGGTGTTCCAGATCTTAGGGATTTGGGATTTTCAGATACATACAATGAGGTATCTTGGAGATGGGACCTAAGTCTAAACACAAAAGCAACTTATCTTCTTCATATACCTTATACACCTAGCCTGAAAGCGAGATGGAAAGCTTGGGTCAGTGGTCTGCACATGGTGGTGGGGCCTTGGGGCCAGGTGATGGCAGGCAGTGTTCTCTGGGCTGTCTGCACGCTGCAGGGAGAGGGCCAGGGGAGCACCTAGACTCACCCTCGCGGGCTTGTCCCTTGGCAGCACATCAACAACGAGCACATCCATGGGGAGAAGAAGGAGTTTGTGTGCCGCTGGCAGGCCTGCACGCGCGAGCAGAAGCCCTTCAAAGCGCAGTACATGCTGGTGGTTCACATGCGGCGGCACACAGGCGAGAAGCCACACAAGTGCACGGTGAGTGTCTCTGCCCTGTGTCCGCAGTGTGTGTCACCAGGCCGTGGGAGTCATATCTGGCTATCACTGACAGCGTGCAGGTCAGGGTGAAGGGACCACAGCAGCGGCACAGGACAGGTCTTACTGACAGGTCATCCTGTCTCTTCCTGCCCTGGCTTGCCGCCTGCTTTGGGCCCTGAAGGCCTCTTATCTGCTATTATCTCAGACCTCAATGAATTCACTCTTTAGGTGTGAGCTGCCTGGTAATGACTAAGGGTGTGCTGGTCTTGCCAGCATGTGATTGTGAACCCCAAAGCATGGTATACCCCCATATGCAGTTCGCTTAACTGGCGGTCACTGGGCAGAGGGACCAGGCCCTATAGCACCTGCAGGGAGAAAAGTGTCCTTGCTAATCCATAGCTGGAGCAGCATGAGTTAGAAATCACCTTGCTTCTGTTTTTATTTAGGAAAAGTAGAATAGGGAACAGAAACGTAAGACCTTTTGTACATTGTCTCTGATGGAAGCAACAGGACTTGTGACTCTAAGCAGTAAGGCTTTTTGTTCAGAGCACACAGAAATTGCTCCTTCTCCAAAAGTGGAGGTGGCCCCAGTCCGCTGATATGGCTGTAGCTGAAACCCCTGAGAGCTCCTCTTGCTAACTTTATTTCACAGGTTCTGGGAAGTGTGTTCTGTTCTCATTGTAATATCTCTGAAATCAAACTGTCTTGAAATCAGTAGGATCCAAGATTCAGTAAAGCATGCTATCTTTGTTGACAAGTTGATGATATTAAGATAAAACTCACACCATAAAATTTACTCTTTTAAAAAAAAATGTATAACTGGGTGGTCTTGGTATATTGACAGTTATGCAGCTGTGGCACTATCTACATCCAAAACATTGTCATAACCTTTAGCGGAAACTCCGCATACATTAGCAGCCCTTCCCCATCCTCTCCTTCCAGCCCTGGAAAACTAATATCTGCAAAACTCCGCATACATTAGCAGCCCTTCCCCATCCTCTCCTTCCAGCCCTGGAAAACTAATATCTGCATTCTGTCCAGGATTGGCCTGTTCTGAACATTTCATAAAAATGGAATCTGCAATGTGTAACATTTGTGTCTGGCTTCTCTTACTTAACATTTTTTGAGGTTCACCCATGTTGCAGCACAAAATAGAAGATTGTCTTTTTTGCTGTGTAACATTCTACAGGATGTTGAGGTGTCGTTTCCTTACCCATTCATCAGTGGGTGCTCTGCATGGCTGTTACAAATAACCGGGACCTTGGTGAACTTGGTGTGCATGTTTTTATGGACATATATTCTCCTATGTTCTCAGGTAGATACACGTAGGAATGGCATTGCCCATTTATACAGTAATTGAAGGCTTGTCAGACTGTTTTCCAGAAAAGCTGAATCACTGTACATTCTCATCATCAGTGTATGAGTGTTCTGGTTTCTCCACATCCTATGAGCACTTGGTATCACCTGTCTTTCTTATTGTAACCATCCTAGTGAGTCTGAAGTGGTGTCTCACTGTGGCTTTGATTAGATTCCCCTAGTAGCTAATGATATTGCAAGGCTTACAGGGCTTTTGTTCATCCTGTCTAGAGAACTGTCTACTCAAAATATTTTGCCCATTTTTTTACCTACCTTATTTTTTTGTTAAATTGTAAGAATCTTTTAGCAAACATTTCTCCCATTTTGTGGGTTGTCTTCATTTTCTTGATAATTTCCTTTGAAACATAAAACTTTAAATTTGGTGAAGTCCAATGTTTTATTTGCTTGTGCTTTTATTGTTGCAGCTATGAAACCTCTTCTAATCCAAGGTCACAAAGATTTACCACTTTGCTTTCTTCTAAGCATCTTATAGCTTATAAATATGTAACTTTATATAAATATGACTATATGCACATAAGTATAGCTCTTCCATTGTGGTCTTTGATGCATTGTGAGTTTGTCTGTGTGCTTCTCAGCCCTTTCCAAGTTTCCTAGAAAGGAAAATATCTTAGTTACTCTTTTCTTGTTGCTGAGAAAAAATACTTGACACTCAAAGTTAAAGAGGAAAAGTTTATTCAGCTAACAGTTTGTAGAGAATTCAGTCCATAATCAGCTGGCTCCAAGGCAGGATGGCACATTGCAGAGGGGCAACTATTCATGGCTTTGGAAGACAGCAAAAGCAACAAGAGGGAGACAAGACTCTTTCTGTCCTGTATATTATACGCAGGCTACCTGCCCTAGGGTAGGTGTAGCATTCACACCCTTAATCCCAGCCAGAACTATGCCAAACCAATCAGTAGACTATTTAGTAATCACATGCCCTTAATTGCAGCATCACATACTCTAGATTCAGCCACCTCTGAAAAAGCCCCACCTATGACTGTATGAGGCTTTAGGGGGACATCCAGACACAAACCATAAAAGAAAGCAATTGTTAGCAGTAACTTCATGCTTCTTGGTGCACCAGTGGGGTGGAGCCCTGAAGGGAGGGCAAGGGAAAGGAGGTGGTGGGCTGGTGCCCGGGCTCAACTCCCCTGCACTGGATCCTGGGTGCCTCCACCTATCCATCTACCTTCTTTTAGTTCGAGGGCTGCTCAAAGGCCTATTCCCGTCTGGAGAACCTGAAGACGCACCTGCGTTCCCATACCGGAGAGAAGCCATACGTATGCGAGCACGAGGGCTGCAACAAGGCCTTCTCCAATGCCTCTGACCGCGCTAAGCACCAGAATCGCACCCACTCGAACGAGGTACCACTATAGCATGTTTGCACTGGGCCAGTGCATGCATGCGAGGGTTACTGAGCATGGCTTGTAGACACCTGTAGGCCAGGAGGAAGACAGGTAACTGGACGCCCCACCACTACCACTCACCTGTGCACATTCTGCAACACAGAGCAGCACTCTGTGCTACATCCTCTTTGACAGGAAAGATGCCCCATAAGATGCCATGGCACACTTACCCTCTCTGTGCCTCAGTTTCCCCCTGTAATAAACATAACATAGTTTCCTTTGCAATAAGTATAAAGCATAGATTCCTCTGTAATAAACATAAACAGTACCAAGAGTTCCAAGGTCAGGCAAAGAGTAGCCTCTTAGATCTCCCAGAGCATGATGTGTCTCTATACATGCGTGTGCTCCTCACTCCTCAGGCCGTTGGGCAGGTTCTGCCACCCTATCCTTCAGAGGAAACAAATGCCCAGAGAAATAGTGACTGTTCCCAGTGCCACAAAGTGTGAGGGTGGAGCTACAGGCTTAGACTGAGGAGCACTGTGTCCTTCGCGGCTGTGGAAACATCCCAACACAGGCCTCACCCACAAGCTGGTGGGCTTGAGCAGCTGCCTCATCGTGTGGGTAGGGCAGTAGTGACAGTGTCTCCTCAGATAGCCACAGCCCCTGGCAAGGCTGAGAGCCCAGCAAAGGAAACTGGCAGGAGCCTGTGGTGTCTGCTGCATTCTCTCAGCCCAGCTACACAATCACTGTGGCTCAGGCAAACTCCAGAGAGAGCCTTTCGAACAGCTTAGACACAGTATAGGCTCCAGAGGGACCTGGCTCCAATGTTTGTAGGGAATTAGAGCAATTCTCAAAGGCTTTTGAATCCTTGGAGTCCCTACAGATAACAGCTGCCTTGGCAATGAATGTGTGTGTCTGTAGATGTGCATAATGTGTGGTGTGTGTGTGTGTGTATGTGTGCATACAGGTATGGAGAGGTGATACGTGCATACATATTAGTATATGCATCTGTGTAGAAGTGGGGGTGATATATGTATATTTGTGTCTAAGTGTGTATATATATACATATATATGTGTATATATATGCATACAGGTGTGGAGGGGTGGTGTATGTATATTAGTGTCTATGTATGGATTTGGGGGTGGTAGATGTGTATATAAGTGTATGTATGTGTGTGTGCATTGGTGTACAGGGGTGATGTATGCATGTGTGTAGATATGAGGGTGGTGTGTGTGTAAGTATGTGTGTATGTGTACATGTGTGGAGGGGTGGTATATGTGTATTAGTATATATATGTGCGTGTGTGGATGTACGAGTGGTACATGTGTGTTTAATGCATATGTGTGTTTGTAAGTATATCCATGTATATATGTGGGTATGGGTGGATTAATGTGTGTGTACACGTGTACACATGTGTTTGTAGTATATATATGTGGGTATGTGCGGTTTGGTATATGTGGCTTATGTGAGTGGGTGTGCGGATGTGAAAGTGACAGGTGGTAAATGAGTCCAGGACTCAGGTTCTGCAGACCTGGGTTTTCATCCTCTTACCTGGTGGCTTTGAGGACGTTTCCTTGCCCTCAAGCCTGTCTTTCCCCATCAGAGAAGTCGGGGCTGCTGATGCAGTCTCATGAAGTGTGATCAGCGCATACTCTTCTGCTGATCCTAGCAATCCCAGAGCGTAGTTTTCCCGGGAGGCATGTGTGTCCCTCTTGGTGTTTTTCTAGCTCCTGGTAGCAAGTGCTCCCCTGACCAAGCACTTAACCTGCATGTGAAGGTGGCACACAGGACCAGGCCAGGGCTTGGCTCTATCCCCAGGGCTCTGGTTACAAATACATCCTGCCACCTGTGCCAGCCAGGTCTGCCAAGGGACACAAGATGGCTTCAGGAGAGGGAGTGCACACACGGAGTCTGCCGTCTTGCCCCATCCATAACACAGGCATGGTTCTGTTCCCAGAAACCCTACATCTGCAAGATCCCAGGCTGTACCAAGCGGTACACAGACCCCAGCTCACTCCGGAAGCACGTGAAAACAGTCCATGGCCCAGATGCACATGTCACCAAGAAGCAGCGCAATGATGTGCACCTTCGCGCCCCACTGCTCAAGGAGAATGGGGACAATGAGGCCAGCATCGAGCCTGGCGGCCGGGGATCTGAGGACAGTGCCGAGGCCAGCAGCACCAGCCAGGCAGTGGAGGACTGCCTGCACATCAGAGCCATCAAGACAGAGGGCTCCGGGGTAAGCAGAGATGGGCAGCCCAGCTACCCCTGGCTCCAGCAGTGGTCTCTATGCTAGGACCCCCTTCTACAGCAAGTTGGCATCCCTGCCATCTCCAACTCAGCCTTTTTCCCTTCACCTCTTTGGGCCTCACATGGCGTCTGTCACTGAGGCTCCTCCTCTGACCCAGCTCCTGCTGGCCAGCTGTGGCAGCCTGGCCCTGTGTTGGTCTGCGTGGGGTGGGGGTGGCCCTGGTGTCTACCTCTTGAAGCAGCACCTGAGTACTGCTGCCAGGCTGCAAGCCTCTGTCCTGTTCTGTGCCCTCCCCTCTGGCCTCTGCTCCTTTGTTCTAACCACCTGTTCTTTGTCTCCACATCTTTCTTCCCAACTGTACCTCCCCTAAGGATAGACGGTACTGAGGTGAGCAGAGGAACCAGGTGAGGGATGGGGGCGGGCTGCGCTGAGCGAGGGTGGGCTGGGATGTCCAGGTCCCTGCCCGGGTGAGAGCGACCTGTCAGTCCAGGGCTCCTGGGCTGAGGACATGGGTTTGGAGAGGCAGACAGCAGGCTGAGCAAAGGCTTCAGAGATAGCAAAGGCTGGCAGGAGGGGCTGGCAGGTGTGGGGAGCTGTGAGACTGAGCTGCAGGAAGGCCAGCAGGGAGGAGCAGTGTGAACCCAAGCTGCAGCGGTGGAGTTGGCTGACCTACAGAGGGTCCTGAAGAGGTACTACAGACAAGGTACTACAGACAAGGCCTCAAAGGTTCCTGCTCACCTGGAGCTTGTGCCCTAGGGGGTTAGGAGCATTGCAGCTTCTTAAAGGGCTTAGATTTGGTGGCAGGTGGTCCAGAAATAAGCTCCAAGGTGCTGCATTCAGGGTGAGCCTTGTCTGCACCCAGCTGCCCTGGTCACAGTGCTGTAGCCTGAGTCTGGTGGCCTTCTAGACAATACATGTGCACCATGCTGCACTCCACCCCACCCTAGCAGGAGGGCCGCTTTGAGATGGCCATTCAAGCGAGGGCCGTATCCCACAGCTCCCCGTTCCTTGTCACCCGAAGCACCTGAGTCTGACCTGTTGAGAGCTTCTCACCTGGTCGAAGGCACCAAGTCATTGGCTTTCTTTGTTCCTCACTTCATCATGCGCTCCTCACAGAGGCTAGGAAGGCTTCACTGCCTTCTGTCACACTGTACTGGGTGCCTTCTGCACACCAGGTGTATGAGAAGTGGTTCAGATCTGTCATAGTCAGGAAAGCCAAGGCTGAGAGCAGAAAAGAGACTTGACCCTGTATGCAGAGACAAGTGATGGTTTGCAAGCCCCTCTAAGGAGTAGCTTCTTTCCTCCCCCAGGCCCCTAACTGAGGGTTCAAGAGCGTAGTGTGGATGCCGGGTGGGCACAGGCCCAGGTGCATCCTCACACCCCTGAGCCGGTACCTTCCACCCTGTTCCTACAGCTGTGTCAGTCCAGCCCCGGGGCCCAGTCATCCTGCAGCAGTGAGCCCTCTCCCCTGGGCAGTGCCCCCAACAATGACAGCGGCGTGGAGATGCCGGGGGCGGGGCCCGGGAGCCTGGGAGACCTGACGGCACTGGATGACACAACGCCAGGGGCCGACGCCCCAGCCCTCGCTACCCCCTCCACTGGTGGCCTGCAGTTGCGCAAACACGTGAGCTCCATGCACCGGTTTGAGCAGCTCAAGAGAGAGAAGCTTAAGTCCCTCAAGGATTCCTGCTCCTGGGCTGGCCCGGCCCCACACACCCGGAACACCAAGCTGCCTCCCCTCCCGGCAAGTGGTGAGTAGAGGCCAGGTGCCTGAAGCGGGGCATGAGAAAACTGGGGCTGCACCAGCTAGGCCACTCCCTGGCTACCCACGACAGAATGGCTCTTAATAGCCCATTGCACATGGTAAGGAAACAGCATCAGAGAGGTAAAAGTGCTCCACCCAAGTCAAGGGCTGGGGTAAGACAAGGGTAAACCTATGTGACTCCAGCGCCTGTGGTCTTTCACCTGCACCATGCTACATCTCGTTACCCACTAACATCAGGCAGACCCCATCTACGTTGTCCTCTCCCTTGTCTGGTCATTCATTCATTTATTAAGCACCTATTGTGGTCCTCATAGCCAAAGCCTAGGAGGGACGGCAGCAGTTGAGTGCCAATCCCAATTGAGTCCATGGTCAGAAGCCATAACCCCAGATTCCCACTCCAAGGCAGAACAAGCCAGGTAGCACTAATGACAGAGCGAAGCGTAGAGCTGTGCAGAGCAAAGAGGAAGCTCGTCCAGCTGAGCAGGGAGGACTTCCTGGAGGAGGAGACCCTGGATGGATGGCATCTTCAGTGAGCATTACTTGTGTGCCTAGAACTGCGCTAACTATGAGCACTCAGCACCCAGGCTGCCCTCTCGGGACTGACAGCCCCTTGCGCTAGACACTGACGCACCACCTGCTTCTCCCCTGAAAGGAAAATGTATGACCCTGCCTATGGACAGATGGCCTTGAACTCAGCCCCCTAGGGGATCGCTGGGTTGCAGACAGCTGTCTTGGCCAGGATCAACCTCTCCAGGTGGCCACAGGTCTGCAGGAGTGTAAGGGGCCCCCACTTCTCCCTCTGAGATCAGCCTAGGCTCCCTTCTCCTCTTTCGGCTCCTGCAGCCTTTCTTTCCTGCCAGGGCTGGGGACCTCAGGGTGGGGTACAGCATGGTGAGAGCGGGCAGAGCACGGCCCCATGTCGCCACAGCTGACCCTTCTGCTTTCCTGCAGGCTCCATCCTGGAAAACTTCAGTGGCCCTGGGGGCGGCGGGCCTGCAGGGATGCTGCCCAACCCCAGGCTGTCTGAGCTGTCTGCTGGCGAGGTGACCATGCTGAGCCAACTGCAGGAGCGCCGCGACAGCTCCACCAGCACGGTCAGCTCGGCCTACACGGTGAGCCGCCGCTCCTCCGGCATCTCCCCCTACTTCTCCAGTCGCCGCTCCAGCGAGGCCTCGCCTCTGGGCCCTGGCCGCCCGCACAATGCCAGCTCCGCGGACTCCTACGACCCCATCTCCACTGACGCATCGCGGCGCTCCAGCGAGGCCAGCCAGTGTAGCGGTGGTGGCTCCGGACTGCTCAACCTCACGCCAGCGCAGCAATACAGCCTACGAGCCAAGTACGCCGCAGCCACGGGCGGCCCGCCACCCACACCACTGCCTGGTCTGGAGCGTGTGAGCCTGCGGACCAGGTTGGCATTGCTGGACGCGCCCGAGCGTGCGCTTCCCGGCACCTGCCCACACCCACTGGGGCCACGGCGTGGCAGTGATGGGCCTGTCTATGGCCACGGCCATGGCCCCCTGGGGGTCGCGCCTGCCTTCCCCCATGAGGCACCGGGCGGCGGAGCGCGGCGGGCCAGTGACCCAGTGCGGCGGCCCGACGCCCTGACCTTGCCACGTGTGCAGCGCTTCCACAGTGCACACAACATGAACCCTGGCCTGCTGCTTCCCTGCGCAGAAAGGCGTGGCCTCCGCCTGCAGAGCCACCCCAGCACCGAGGGCCCCCTGGCCCGCAGCGCCTACTCTCCCCGGCCACCCAGCATCAGCGAGAATGTGGTGATGGAGGCCATGGCTGCAGGAGTGGATGGTACAGGGCCCGAGCCTGACCTGGGGCTGCCGGAAGACGACCTGGTACTGCCGGACGATGTGGTGCAGTACATCAAAGCGCACACGGGTGGTACGTTGGATGACAGCACAAGGCAGCTGTATCCCCCGGAAAGCACTGGCTTCCCTGAGAACCCCAAACTGCCCAGCCCCGGGCTGCACGGCCATCGAAGGGTAGCAGTTGCAGACTCCAATGTGGGCCCCTCCACCCCTGGGATGGGAGGCTGCCAGCTGGGGTATGGGGCCCCCTCCGGCCTGAACAAAAATAACATGCCGGTGCAGTGGAATGAGGTGAGCTCTGGCACTGTGGACACCCTGCCTAGCCAAGTGAAACCACCGCCCTTCCCCCAGGGCAACTTGGCCATGGTGCAGCAGAAGTCAGCCTTTGGTCAGTATCCTGGCTATAGTACGCAGGGCCTGCAGCCGAGCCCAGGGGTCCTGGATAGCACACAGACCCGCAGTGGAGCCCCCTCTGCAACCAGAGGCAACTACATGCAGCAGCTTCGACACCCAGCCACAGGAGGCCAGTGTGTCAGCATGACCACCGCTGGGAACCCCCACACCACCTATGGCCCAGCCCACCCGCAACTGAGCCCCAGCAGTGTCAGTGGGAACCTGAACCAGTTCCCCACCTCCTGCAGCAATATTGCAGCCAAACCAGGCCCCCTGGGGCTCCCTCAGCAGATGGAAATTGGCTCTGACCCCACCTTGATGGGCAGCCACCATAGGGAGCTGGGGGTGCCACCACCGCATGCAACCCAGAGCTACCCACAGCAGAGCCATCACTTGGCAGCCCCCCTGAGTCAGGAAGCCTACCGCCAGGCCCCTAGCCTCCTCCCTTCCAATCAGCCTGGCTTTATGGAGCCTCAGCAGGGCTCCATGGGGCCGGCGGCATCCAGCTTTGGCTTAATACAACCCCGACCACCCCTTGAGCCCAGCCCTGCTGGCCACCACCGTGGGGTACGTGCTGGGCAGCAGCAGTTGGCCTATGCCAGGGCCACTGGCCAGACTATGGCCACCATGTCAGGTAGCCAGGAGACTGCAGAAGCCGTGCCCAAGGGAGCAGTGGGCACCATCAGGTCACTGCCTCCTCAGCTGGCCCTGCAGGATGCAGGGGGGACGCAAGACCACAGCATGGTCTACTACTATGGCCAGATCCACATGTACGAACAGAATGGAGGCCTGGAAGGCCATGGAGGCTCCCCAGCTACAAGACCCCAGCCGCCACAATCACAGCCCTGCCCAGACAGTGTCCAGCCCCAGCCCTTGCCCTCACCAGGAGTCAACCAGGTGTCCAGCACTGTGGACTCCCAGCTCCTGGAGGCCCCCCAGATCGACTTTGATGCCATCATGGATGATGGTGACCACTCGAGCCTGTTCTCCGGTGTGCTGAGCCCCAGCCTCCTCCACAACCTCTCCCAGAGCTCCTCCCGCCTCACCACCCCTCGGAATTCCCTGACCCTGCCCTCCATCCCCACGGGCATCAGCAACATGGCAGTCGGGGACATGAGCTCCATGCTCACCAGCCTAGCCGAGGAGAGCAAGTTCCTGAACATGATGACCTAAGGCCCCAACCCCTGGCCCAGAGAGGGCCCAGAGGGGTCCTTGCTTCCCTGGAGTACAGCAATTCTACTCTCCCATCCATTTCATCTTTTTCAAAGAGTAATATTAAGTTGACCGAAGAGTTTTTGCCAGTGGCTGGTTCAGGCTACAGATGTTTTAAGAGAGGGTTTATGGGCATCCTCTCTGGTCTCTTGGACTATATTTTGGAACACTAAAAAGAGTCTTAATCGGCACGGAAAGAGTGAAAAGCACATTTACACAGCGCTTGCCAGGCTTTGGTGTTTATGGGACCACTCTGTTCTGGCTTCTTCGCTCTGTCATTTGGCTAATGAGGGATTACATTGGCCAGCAGCTTTCAAGTATATGTGGAGACAGCAAGAAACCACGGTTGGGTTTGAATCCGAAAGTGGTACTTGGAGAGTCTGCTTCGAGAAGATGGGCTTCTCATTCTGCCACCTGCCAGAAAAAGGAATTTGGGGCTCTTTCTTTGGATTTTTCTTTGAGCTTAAATCTTGAGGTCACTGAGGTCCCTTGCCAAAGAGGAGAAAATCGCAGTCTGCCAGGACGTTTCGGAAGCACATTGTAATTCCAGGTTTGGTAGAGTTGGCATCTCTACCCTCTGGAGCAGGGTTCGGGACCAACAGATTGGCCAAGTGTGTGTGAATGAATAAAATATATAAATATTGCCAGTGTACTATATGGGGCAAGTCCAGAGGCTGCCCATGTTTACAGTGTTCCTGCATGGAGAATGTAGCCCTTCCTGAAAAGAACGCTTGTTCCTAAATACCTCGGGGCTGCCAGAGCTACTGCGGGTTAGAGATGGACTAGGCCTTGAGGAGGTGGGGATGCAGCCGGGGCCCAGCCTCAGGCCACCCCGGAACATTCCCAGTAGGAAGAGGAAGTCGCATGTTTACTCAGCCTTGTTTCTCCAATGCACTATCTGCCCACTTTACCATGGAAAACCCAAGGGCTTGACAGTGGCCTCTACCCAGGCTCCCCTAAGCTATGCTGAGTGGCCCTTGGCTGCCAGCAGCCCAGTGGTCCATGCCAAGCCACGACATGCAGTCCCAGTACCTTATGGATTCCTTAACCTCCGTGTCCTCCTCCCCCAGTTATTTGGCAGAGAATGATGACATGCATGGTCTTTGGGGTGGGGTGGGGGGGTGAAGGGGTTGATTTTCAGACTCTGAGGGATCATTGCTGAAGTTTCCTGTTCAGTGTGACCAAGCCTCACCTCAAAGTGGAATTTGGAACTGGCTCCAAGAAGACGTCGTTCTAGCACATCCTGCAGGATGAATCAGTGCATCTTCTGCACCACCACACACGCACGCACACACACACATCCCAGACTTTCTGCTGAATTTGTAGCATCCTGGCCAAACCAACTGCATCACTCAGAGCTTCGTTCTTGCTGTGCCCTTGGCTTCAGTGAGGAACTTCTTAGCAATTCCTACAAGCAGGGCCAGAACCTGATTAGCTGGGTCCCCTGTGTCCCTGCACATCGAGCGCCTTGTTAAGGCCCACAGACAAGGCCAGCTCCAGATGACAGTCCTGGGACATCACCGAGCTTGTGGTGGTGTGTGTCCCCTCCTAAGTTGAGACTGTGCTCACTATTCCCAACCTGTATATATTCTGTGCAGAAGATACCATCCTTGAATATATTGTAGGTGAATTGTCCAGCCAAATTTATATCTCCAAAACATTTTTAGCTTTTTCTACATGCTATGAATTGAGATGACATGCTCAACTTGTAAATAAGTCTTTTTGTACATTAAAAAAGTAATTTTTTCATAATTTATCTTGTCTGTCTGCTTCTCCCTTGACAGTAGTTAATGAGAATTTGGGCAGTAAATTTGGTGCATTTGAACAGAAATTAGGCTCTATTTTTCATAACAGTGTCAAAATTGACTATCCTGCCTTAGCCAAGCAATGTTTAATGTTGAGGCATTTACTGGCTATTAGTTTCCTGTCACTTTGGGGCTGGGCTGGACCGGCCGGATGTTTTGCAATGAGTATCTGGCTGTTCTCCCAGTGAGCCAGTCTGCACCTCTAAGCTGCTCTGCAGAGGTCCATGTGCACTGGAGTCAGGTATGAGCCCAAATGCTCCTATGTCGGCGCCCTCTCTTCAATGTGTGGGGTGATGGAACACATTTGAATCAGGGTGGACATGGTGGTAAAAGGACGAGCAGGTCCCCATGTGGGTAAGGTGTGTCCTGTGGGGCAGCCCAATGAGAAAGGGCACCCGCAGCCTTGGGCAGGGCCAGGCCTCTGAACTCCCAGCCCTGGCTCTTAGAATTTCCTTGTCTCCCTGAGAAAAACTTCAGCCCTCAGGTTGGACAGTCTGGGAGTTAAAGCAGCTTTAGCTGTATTATCATTGCTGCCTCAATGTCCTGAAGTGATTCAAAGCGTTTATCTTCCGTGTTTATTTTTACTTTGAGGTAGAGCCAGAAGTCACATAGTACCAGCTCCATTGACTAGGGTGGATGAGGACACACTGTAATGTTTTTATGAGTCTACTTTTCTGTTAGATGGCACTCAGCACCATATTCACCATATTTTTGATCACAACTTGTAAAGCTATGAAAGAGGACTCGCAGAACTTCAGAAAATAGCGGGAATGATGGGATGAGTGTGTTTGAAGTGAGGAGTATTTTGAGGATTAATGGCAATGTGTCTTTTACTGTACTAGTTTTTTAATTTAAACATTCACTGTATTTGAATCACTCCTCATATACCCATGAAAATATCCTTCAGGGGTGAAAATGAAATTGGCACTCTGAGAGAGACATTCTCAAATATAGGGACACTAAGAGAACTCAGCTCGTGAATCTGTCCTTAAAGATAGAAGGCAAAAACACCAGGAGAAAGCTGGACCATCCAGAGTAAAGGAAGAGCAATGGGAGGTGTGAGTATCTGGGTGGATACAGCAGACTCTTCTTCTAGAGTTCTTTAAAGAATATGAGCTGAAAACACACAATGTAACATTGTCCAGTGGGGTCTGCAACATCTGTAGGTATCGTAAGACAATAATTACATAAAGGGGGGAGGGTTAAAGATCTATATGCTTATATAACCACATTTCACTTAAGGTGCTGAAGTATTGATTCTTAGACTGCACTCAGTATGTATATTGTAATAATTCCTCATATAATCAGAAAACAAACTGTACTATGTGATGTAGGCCAAAAAATACAGCACAAAAATTGAAATGAAAAATATTGAAAAGATGCCACCAAACCCAAAGGTAGCAGGCAGAGAGGAATAATAATAATAACAACAAGAAAAGAAAGAATGAAATGGTAAGCCTAAGTCCAAACCTATCAATAATTACATAAAGCCCGAGTCTGAAAGCCCCAGTTAAGAGCTGGAGAATAGAGATGCAACTCTATTGCATTCCTGCTCCCCGGTTTAAAGACCTCCTATAAAGCTGCCATCATTGACACGGTATTGGTGATGGGAAAGACACAGATCGATGGTACAGAACAGAGCAGGGTCAGCAGACTGCAGCCCAAAGACCAAATCTGGCCATGGTCTGTTTTGTATGACCAGGGAGCTGAGAATGGTCTTTACATAACATTCTTGAAAAATCATAAAATTAAATTTTACAAAGCAGACCATATAACCACAAAATCTAAAATATTTACTATTTTACCCTTCACAGAAAACATGTTCACCCCTGGATAAAATATTCAGAAAGAGACACACACAAATAATAACCAATGATTTTGGTGGTACTGGGGATCAAACCAGGGCCTTGTGCAAGCTAGGCAAGTACTCTACTTCTGAGCTATACCCCAGCCCTCAGCTGATTTTTTTCCCACAAAAGGACAAAGGCATATCAACAGAAAAAATATAGTTTTTTCAACAAGTGGTATTGAAACAACTGGGTACCCCTAGGCAAATAAAAATAAAAATTAAGAGAATCGTGACCTAAACCTTATTTCTTGTGCAGAAATTCCCTCCAAATAGACTACAGATGTAATATAAAATGAAAACCATAACAATTTTAGAATAAATCACAGTAGAAATCTTTATAATCTAAGATTAAACCAGAAGTTCATATACATGACACAAAAAAATATTACCTATGAAAGAAAATTTTGAGAAATTAGGCTTCATAAGAATTAAGCACGTTTTCTCAGCAAAAGACACTAGAATGAAAAGCTACAGGCTTGAGGAAACTGTTTTCATCATATATCCAACAAAGCACTTAGACCCAGAATATATGAAGAACTCTAAAAAATCAATAATATGAGAACAAACAATGCAACTCAAAAATGAGCAAAGAACTTAAATAGACGCTTTACCCAAGGGGTTGTAAAGCCACATACGGTGTCACGTGGCTTTAATCCCAGCACTCCGGGACACTGAGGTGGGAGCTTTCCAAATTCAAGTCCAACCTGGGCAACTTAGTGACTTAGTGAAACACTCTCTCAAAATAAAAAATTTAAAAAGGCCTGGGGATATAGCTTAATGCAAAAGCCCTAGAAACTCCAGTATCAGTATACACAGATAACAGGTAATGAAAAGCTCTTCAACATTGCCAAGCACTAGGACAATACAAATGTAAACACAAGAAGATACAACTATACCAACTTATACTTTTCACCTGTTCATCTGTGTACAAGGATAAATCACTTCCCTTTGGAGCTACAGGCCCAGCCCACAGGAAGAGCAAGGACGCATGAACCCAATGTCCTCACGCATGAGATAGGTTTGATAAATTGCTCACCCCAAAAATCATTTCAAGGATGTAATGAGACCAAATGTGAGAAACATCTCCCCCTTATAGGTGTTCAGCAGTCTTTACTGCCTTCTCCGCTTCCTGAGGTGTAACCATCACAGCCACACCTATGGCTAATAGGCAAATGTTACCCTTAGACACACCATTTCCAAAACACCTTTAATCAGTGACTTTTGTCCTAACAATTGGTTGGAGGGTTTAAAGCATGGTAGCTTTGTAATGTGTCTGCTGGGTGTGACTGAACTACAGGCCCAGAATCCCTTGTCCTGGGTGTTTCTAGGTCATGGATTCTAGCAGGGGGTCCAGGTGAGGGGTCTCAGCAGACCTGTAGCAGCATATGTGTGTCAGCAGGTATCTGTGGGATCCCTACTGCCATAGGGCAAGCACACCCCTGTGCCCAGCTCCTCCTGCCCAGCCTGCCCACATCTGAACACAGATTTTCAAGGCCAGGGCCAGTGGCAACAGGAACTGATGGTTTTCAGTCTGTCTTTGCGGGCTCCAGCAGGTCCTTGCTCTCCCCACTCTATATCCATGTTCCCTTCCTGACCAGCAACTGCCAAGTTCGAGTTCCAGCCTCAGATGGATAGTAAGGGCCTTGGAGAGAATCTATAGTCAACCAAGCATCACCCCAACTGAAAAAATTGTGTTTCCCTTTCTCCCCAAACCTCTCTTTATTCGCTCTCTCTCTTCTCTGTCAGCGATATGATTTGATCTATCTGTCCCTCACATCAAGCATGCATACTTGAGCCTTGGCTGATACCTGATGAATGTAGGGAAGGCAGCTCTGATGCTCTGGAATGGCTTTGGGGGGCCAGCCTGAGGACATGTCACAGCTCTGTAGAGAGGGAACTAACGTTGTTCCTTTGTCACAGGCACTGTGCCAGGAACATTACATTAATTGGCAGGTTATCTATTTCTCAAAACTACTGGAAACAAACTGCCCAAACTCACAGTCTTAAAACAATGGTCATTTATTGTCACTGACCCCCAGGGCTGCTGGAACTGACTGGTCTGTCCAGGCTCGGCTCAGTGACCCTGCCCCATGTGTGGTCTTTCTAGGCACAGGCTGAAATGAGGATGCAGCAATGTGGTGGCCTGGCAACTGGTGGTCAACTTGTAACACCCAGCTGAACTGAACCAGCATGGTGCTGGGTGTGGGAGGCCCACCTGAGGATTGCTGTCAGCAGCATAAGAGGCAGAACTGGAGAGGAAGAAGTTTAGAAGCTGTTGGGTGCTATTAAAAACTTTGGGGAGCTGTTGGTTTGCCTGGAGGAGCTTGTCATGCTGGCTTTCCTGATGAACTTGCTGTTCTCTTCATCAAAGGAGCTTGGGACCTTACTGTTGCTGAGAATGGCTTTGGTTCACTGTGGGACATCTCTGGTCCTCACTGTGAGCGTCGCTTCCTAGCTCCAGAGGGGAAGATGGTACACTGCTCAGTCTCCAGGGGAAGCTTGTCACCTTCACTTTTCTGATAGGAGCTTGGCTGTTCTCATCATTGGAGGAGCTCAGGAGCTCACTGTTGCTGAGGATGGCTATGGTACTTTTTTGGGGAGCTCTTGTTCTTACTTTGAGCACTGCTTCTGGCTCCAGTGCAGATCCTTCAGCCTGCTAGCACAGATCCTTCATCCTGGTGGTACAGACTTTCTAGCTTCCACCACTGACCTCTGGGCTTTCCCAGTGCAGATCCATGAAACACGCCTGCATGAGACATTGTCATGGGCTCTAGGCCTCCAGCTGGACTCATGGGAGACATTGTCATGGGCTCTAGGCCTTCAGCTGGACCCATGCAGAATGTTATTATAGGATCTAGGCTCTCAGCTGGATTCTTTGGTCTTTAGTGTGTGGACAGATTTCCTGCATTCTGTATGTGATTCTTTGGGTGACTATTATAAAATAATCTTATAAAATATGTGTCCTGTATTGTATTGTTCCCCCTTGCAAAACCCCAAACTACAAGCAGTGACCAAGGAGGCCACATCTTGAAGTAATGGCATAAGCTCAAGAGGATGAGTGGAAATTTGCAAGGCCACCTATGGCATAGTCTTAGAAA